TTTGCGAAGGGGTTCTGCACGTCCATCATTTGTTAAACTTTTCTTCTCCTTTTTTTTTCCATCGAACTGTGATTGGATGGGAGATGATAACATGTGCGTGTGTATGCACTGAACACAATTTTAGATTTTATAAATCTATGAAAACTAAACTTTCGAGAAAAGTTATTTCAACAAATCTTGGAAATACAGGTATAAAAAAAGAAGATATTTATAAATAACCAAAAACATTACTAATATATTCCTTTTCTTGCATACTTTCGGGAGAAAGGAGTTGGTTGACTTTTTATATCCTTTTTAACATTATTTCTCATGTTTAATAATATTATTTAAGTTAAACAATTATTTTAAAGTGAGTGATAAATGCGTGCTAGCAAAATAGCAGGGCACACAATCACGCAGGTCAATTGAATGGCATTTCACTTGGAGAATGACAGCAACTAAGCTTCAGTCTGCACTTTCACTCGATTGGGTCTGTCAGTGGGTGGGGGAGGTGGGCGTTGGTCGATGGGCGATGGACAAGTGGGTGGCCAGCTGAAAAGCTGGCTTTGATTTCACTTTCTCCTCGACTGCTGTTGACATATGCCCCCATTAACCCCCCAATTCAGGGGCCATCAAGTGTCGGTAGATATGCGTCTGTGTGGGGCATCAAACTAATTTTCCTCCTGTTTAGAGTTCTTGAACGTGACACAAGTCTGCACTCGGACCACGCCCACTCCCAGCTACATAGACCGCCTCCTCTGTGGCCATTCCCATTTGCCTTGGCTTCTTCGACAGGCCTCCTTCGTCTGTCTCTGGCCAGTGGTTTTCAACTGATTTGAAATCATTTTAACCCAAATTGCATACAATCGAGTTTGCCAGGAGGCGGAATCCCAACATCCTTTCCACACACTTCGGCCGGAGGAAGCACAAATGTTTGTATGTGATTGAAATGCCTTTCTCTGGGTCTTGGGTTCGGGTTTGGGTTTGGTCTGCTGCGTTCCAAAGGCGTTGATGGCCCCTCGCTCTTGCAGCTGCAATTGCACAAAATTTGGGTGGTCGGGATCTAATCTGTGGTGGGATTAGGCTAATGGATTTGGACCGGAAAGGTGATTTTAAAACCGAAAGCCCTTGGAGTGGGGAAAGTGTTATAACAGCAATTAAGTAAGAATTAATTGGGTTTATTTTCGATATTTTTCCCTACAAGTAAAGGCACTCAAAACATCCAAAAAGTTACAATTTTCTTTATTTTCATTAAATATTTAATCTAGGTTTTCATGTTAAATAATAAATTGGGGCTTCTTGTTTTTTAATTTCATCTTTACCAGGGGCTTCCAGAGACTTCAATAATTTCCAGATTTTCTCCATTTAAGCCTTTTTCTACTACCTTCTCCCTTTTAGTAATTGCTCGTAGTCTGGCGGTGAAAAAAGAAGAGCCTTCGAAGATTTACATAGGAAACTAACTTTTTGCAACTACAATCATAATTACAACAAGTAGCCTAAGCCCCTACTACCCCCCATCTCTCCCTGAGGCATTAGGGGAGAAAACTTTTTACATTAACCAAAGTGCGGCTATTAAAAATTCATTAATTGCATGCAACTGCAAAAGGAGCAACAAAATCGAGGCAAAAATTCGCTGGAAAAGTTAAATTGATTTGTGAACGTTAAAATGGTAAAAAAATTGATAGAAGGCCAAAGGGATAAATTGAATGGAAATCGGGAAAAGGAGGCGGGCCAGAGCTTAATGAGAATGCCCCGCAGTAAAAGTTGAAAAGTTGTATTTATTTTCAACAAAATTTTTTCATATTTTATTCGCCACTATTTCTATATTAATTAGAAAAGTTCTACCGCACTGGCGGCAGATCAAATTTTCTGTGAATTGAATTTGCAATTTTAAAAGGGAGAAAACGGAGGGAGACCGGAAAATGGAAAATGGCAAATGAATAGTGAAAAAGTGGTAAACTTGTCTCGGCAATAAACGAGCGAGTATTACACATATTTCATCAACAATTTGAACGGCCAAGTAATTGAAAACGCATGCATCGATGATGGCCAAAAAGCGAATTGCAATTTTGTATGTTGGCCAAAACCATATTGGAGCCACTCATCTATGTTGCCCTGGACAGCCGCAATATAAATTTGATGGCCAAAATGGTTCAGCCCCCCCCAACGGGGATGAGCCCCGTTGGTACCCAATTGCAATGGAATCCATGGCCCAAGCCCAACGTATTTGGCCAGCAGTTTAATTACCATTTTGAGCGCAGCAATTTGGGAATTGCGAAGAGCATTTGATATTTTCCAGCAATTTTCCACAGCAAAAGAAGAAATAACCATGGCCAGTTGGCAATTATCTCTAAGCATTTATTCCTAGTAAAATATTGTATTCCTATCTCATCTTTCTCAACCTGTCTTTTAATTATGCATTGATGGCTCAGGCAGGAAAGTTTTGGCTTTGGCAAATTTTGTAATAAAAAACTGACTTTGCTAATAGATTTTCTCTGCTTTTCTTTGTATTCAATTAAAAATTTTAAAAATATGACATTATATCCATGTTACCTGTCGAAACTCTGCCAGTCTTTAATTTAACTTCTAAAAATGTAATAACAAAGCAGGTTTCGACTTCCCTTTTCAACAAATCCCCTTCGATACACAATTCTTTACCATTTCATAAACAATTGTAGTTAAAACCAAATCTCGGATATTATTTCCAGCAAGAAAACCCTCAAAAGTAGCAACTTCAGCCACAAAGCTCGGGATATTCCCAGGGCCAAGGCAAAGAAGTCCGGTGCACAACACAAAATCATCATTGCTGCTCACTAAATTATGCAAAATTGTACAATTATGTTAATTAATTGACGCAGCCAGCCAGCCAGGGCACTCCCACTGCTGCCCCTTGGCCAATTAGCGCCATAAAACGCAGGCCAAGCGATTGCCAGGGATTTTATGTTGGCCTCCCAGAGAACAAGGAAACCAAAAACAGTGAAAAGCCCCCAAAAATACAAAAAAAAAAAATGTATATATATGAGTGCCACGCCCATTTCGCTTGTTAACCTTACATAATTAGCAACAAAATTGTTCGTTGTGTTTAGAACAAAAGCGCAGCGCATTGCAGAAATTTGCGCAGTCCCTTTTTGGCTTCCCAAAAATCTGCCAACTGGCTTTATTAATTCCATAATTCAGCAGGGGCCGAGGCGGTTATAATGCGAAAAGTCGGGAGAAAAAGCCGTAGTCCCCTGTCTGGGCTTAATTATTGGAAAATTAATGAAACTGCCATGTTAGATGTTTTCATATTTCCTGCGTTCTCCACGTTTCGCATGATTAATAGCCTTTGAAATGAGGGGTTGATGGAGAGCAACGATGGGGTTATCTTTTGTATTTTTCCCCTGCTCAACGTTTTTTAAGTAAGTTAAATTGTGATTCTTTTACCTGAAAGGCTTTATATACTAAGATGTAGATTTAAACTGTAATTAAGTGAAGAAAACTTATCAAAAAAGCTTAAATATATAGTTAACAACTAATAAAAACATTTTTCAGAGCAATTTTACATTCGATAACTTTCCGAAATATTTGCCGTGCATTTATGAATACCAATAAATATATCCATGGTGCATATTTGCCAGCAGGTAGCCCACTTTCATATGCACCACCAAAGGTAAATATTTGCACTTGTAAATGACATTCACGTCTGCCAATCTACCCCCTTTAACCGGGTCGCCTCTGGCCCATATTTGGGGTCTTTGTTTTTGTTTCTTCAATTGCTCCACTTTATGTTTGAGCTCGGCGGGACTTAAGGGGGGAAAAGGTGTTTGTACACAAGTAAGGGGTAGTGATGGTGGTGACATTTTTTTCACAAAAACCCAAACATATTGCGGGCATCGTGTATATTTCTCATAAATCGGCTTAAAAAGCGAACGTAAAAGGGGAGCCGCAAAAATGCATTTGTTTTGTGCACCCCTGAATCAGACATCATGTAGGATACCCCCACCGAATGACCCCTTCGGGGTCACATACGTTCGCCTTCTGCGTAAGCAATTTTACGCAACACATAAAGCTTTTCATATTTCACATTTCATTCCAACTGGAGGCGAACTGAGTTGCCCAGATCTGTGTTGAGGAGAGTCAACTCTGCTTGACTTATTTTTAACGTCGTTAGTTGGGTTGCAAGTGTCTGATATGGAGGGGTATGTTGGTTTCTGGGAGAAGGGTTGTAATCGATATTTATAAGTTTTTGAGGCTTTGAGAGTTTTTATATAGGGAATATAGGAAATATTTCATTTAAGGTTCAACCTAAAACGTATGCTTTAAAAATAAGTAGGATATAATCCTTAAAAACTGATGTAATTTAAGGCAATCAAAGATCACTATATCTTTTGGTAATTTAAGATAATCTTATTACTGGGTAGAACCTAGGTCGCCTTTTCTTTTTCCCCTCTGATTTGTGTTATTTGTGCTCCCTCTGGCCACTTGTTGTATGATGGTTGTGCTGCGTTGTTTGCCTGTTGTCGCTGTCAGTGTCAGCTGCCGAGATTTATGAAGTGCAACATGCCAGGACTAAAGATTAAGGGAGAAAAAGATTGAGCGGCAGCGGAAAGCAGAAGGCGAGGGGTGAATTTATCTATGCCTGCAACCTGACTGCACTCCCTCATTCTGATTTCCAGCGAAGGACTCGTTATTTAGGGGCTCTCAGATAGAGCCTTGGCCCAGTTTGTTGAAGTGGCGAGAATTTGTATTTAAAGTTGCTCCCATATATATTATATATACAGCATATCTTAGAAATCGAGCAAAGGTCCAGTGGAAAGAGCACTTGCATTATCATAAACCACCGACCAAAACGGGAGACGGAAAAATTATGCAAAGTAAAGATGGCGTAATCAGCGTTAATGAGGCAGGCAAAAAGGGGTCGTTTCCTGCTGATTTGACTAATTCAATCCAATTTTCACCAGGCAATTTGCCTCTTAATGATGGACTTACAGTATTTAATTCCCACTGAAATAACCTTTTCCCTTTTTCTTATTACTTTTCAGCTCGCAACGACCCGCAGGATGATGCGGAGGTGATTAAAGTGCCCTCAAGGCCTCAGCCCGAGGAATCGGATTTCCATAACTTCCGCGGCGTCATCGATACGGGCTCTGGTTATCCCTTCCTCCAGCCAAATCCTTCCAGCTTCAATCTGGGCTTCTTCGGTTCCTTCGATGGTGAGTGCCGTGCGGCGTCACATGCGGCGTATGCGTGATGTGCTGCTTAATCGGCTTGAGCATTTATAATGATTTTTTAATTAAACAATATTTTAATGTGGCCTCAAAAACAGCATGCAATGCAATTACAAGTCTCGAATGCATTTAATGTCGTCATTATTATTCAGCTTAACGATGATCGAACGGATGACACATTACGTATACTTGATATTATAAAACGCCGAAAGGGTATAATGGGGTTTATGTTGTGTTTGCAGAAGAAATATTCTGTTTTTATTTAAGTTATTCTATCATATTCTAATCAGAATATACAATTAATTAAAGTCATTTTTGTTTAATTTTAAATTTTAGTAAAAAGAGTATCAGAGCCATCGAGAATATTTCTATTAATTGGTGTCCATGGCTTAAAAGCATATTCCCTTGGCCAGGCCAATTAGCCAACTGTCCTTCGGGGACTTTTAAACTTTTGCCTCTCCATTTCTGCCCACTCCATACCCACTTCCAGAGAAGTGAAATGAAAAACAATTTATCAAAATATTATGTCAAAGTCCTGTAGCCCAGACAAAGTTTATTTATTCTCTTGTATTTATTTCTATATTTATGGTGGGCAAAGAAGGAAGTGGGGAGTGAAGGCGGAGTAGGTCAAACCAGTCTGTTGACCATTAAAAGTGAAAAGTTTTGCGCCTCTTCTTGCCAATTTCTGCTTAACTAAGACCCTAAGACGTTGCAGATGACGACGATGGAGATGAAACTTCATAAATCTTATCCTAATACATTCGAGTTCGAGGGGCAGGATAAAAACTTTCCAAAGCCCTGGGCATTGTATATGCATAAAAGTTGTTATACTCTTTGTTGTCTTATATCTTCTTTTTTTTGGTTAGTTGGGGGTTTTGCAGATTGTGGGGGGTCAACGATAACGAAGCGTGGAAAATGGCATATAGACAAATAGAAAGTTGAACGTTGCGGTGGCCAGCGAAGTTTCTTGTCAGCAAATTCTTTTTAATACACAAGGAGCCATTTTTTAGAGAAGAGAAATCATTTACCTACAAAAATACATAATTTATTGGATTTTTCCGAATTTTTCATCCGTTAACTGGCATGAAAAACTTTTACCCAGCCGTAAACTATTTCACGCAGCCATTTAAACGCATTAAAATGCAGCCAGCAAATGAATTTGTCGACAAACGGCAATCAGCAACCGGGCCAAAACAAAGTCGTGCAAACAATGCGGTCAAGAATTTATGACAAGGTTGAAGAGAACACAAAGAAAAAAACTAGACTGGAAAAGACCAAAAGAAACTGAGGCGAATAGGGGTGAGATGGGGTCAAGGGGTTGGGGCTTACAAAAGTGCAGACAAGAAAAAGACAGAGACGCCGGCGACACAGAAAACGCTTTTTAGTGCGTTTACGGATTAGGGATTTTCAAACTGAAAAATACATTAGCATGAGACACAGACGACAACGGAATGTCTTTCCTTTCTCAAGGATGGAGTAGATATAGAGGGAATTTTCAAGGACTTGTCTAGACCAAGGACACCTGCCATGTTTCTCACTGAATTTTTTGTGAGCATTTTTTCTTAAATTTCCGTGTTTTTTTTTTAGAAGGGCTTATTACATTGGTCCTAACATCCTTATTAGTTTATTCCTCAAAATGATTAATTTATTTAAATTAACTTTTTTCTTAGATCTCTTCCATCGTCTGCGCACCCGTCTTTGGCCTGCGATTGGCAGCGATTCTGGTGAGGATGGAGCTTCTCCCAATGGCGACTCTGATGAGTCCGGCAGTGGCAATCCCTTCTCCTTCGCAGTGCGACCCTTGATTCCCCTGGACTCCAAGAACGCCAACACCACCTCCACTGTTAAGGTAAGGGGTAAAAAGCAACCAAGAAGGGTTAAATTATCTAGAAACTTAAATAATTTTTTAATCATTAAAAAAATAATAACCAATTCAGGTGGTTGATGGTCACAAGGTGGAGATCAACGAAACGGTATATGGTGGTAACAACAGCGTTTTCAAGGTTCGTTTGGTGAACGTGCGTCCCTTGGAGAGTGGCGAGGAGGTGGCTCAGGGTGTGCACACCAGTGGTGGCGACTTTCAGCCTGCTGCTGCTCCCAGCACTTCTGCACCACCGAAGTCCACTAAGTTTGTGGAGGCTGATGAGGAAGATGAGGACGATCGCCGCGAGCCGCTGGAAAAACAGCCCCAGGACAACGAGGTGCGTGACATCGATGAGCCCGAGGTATAGAAATATTTTCGAAAAAGAATCGAACTTTCTTTTGAAGAACATTTAACCTGAAAATGCTTGGCAAGCGCTCTACTAACCAAAACAAAAAGCGAATTGTATATTGAGATCTTTCTATAAACTTGTAATATACCTATATACATATTTCTATTCTTTTTTAAATAAAGTTTTCGACAAAACTAAACAATCCCAACTGTATATATAATACATAAACTGCCTGCGTTTATTTTACTTATTACTAAAAAAAAACTATAACATCGAATTATGCAACTGGAATAAAACCTTAATGGTGATTTGGTTTGGTTGTGGTATAATTTTAGTTTTTATTTACTTCTGTTTGTTTAAAGCTTTCATTTGCTAGTTTCTACTATGCTGTTTATTTTTAATTTAATCCTTTTTTAGTTTCGTTTGCCCTATAATTAAGTTTTGCTAATTTGTCAGGCCAATAATCTGTTCAAACCGCAATCGTAAATATTTTATTAACCCGACAAAATGTTTAATTGTACAATTAGATGGTTTTTTCTTCCCGTTTAATATTGTTTCTGCCATCATATAATATGCATATTGCTTCATTGGATTTGTGAGTAATTTTATCCTCACTCTTTTTTCGATGGCATTGGATTGCATCTAAATTAATAATGCAAACAAATTATAGTTTGTGGCCACAGCAAAATCGGATGTAACAAAATATTATGCAAATGTGTAGATAAGTAAAAAGGGTTAATGTGATGAGAGGGGAGTGTATATATCTGAGTTGTGTAATTGACATATAGAGTTATGAGTGAAAACATGACAAAGTTAAAGGTTGATAAATTTCGGTTTAGCTGAGGTTTTTATGATTAAATTTTATTTTTTAAAATTACTCATTTTCGTGTGCACTTTGCTCCCATCAAGGGCTATATATACATTTTCGGCAACCTCAATTTTCCCCACCCAACGGCAATTGGTAACACACGTGTTACCATTCCATCAGCGGTGCATGCATCATATGCCACCATTTTTCTTGACTTTTTTGTTGCAAGTCCATTAATTACTTTTAGGCCATAATAAAAATTAATTTTTATTAAAAGTCATGTGCTCCGCTCGCATAAATCCTTGTCTTGGGCGTTTGGCCCACCGCGAAATGGTGGGCGTGGCAGGTGGGCGGCGTTGGATGTATTTATGAGAATTTATTGTGGGGAAATCGACGAGTGCCGGTTGGATAAATTTTTTGTTGCTTTCTGCGTGCCGGCATAAATCAGCGAGAAATTAATAAATGACCGTAAAAAAAAATGCAATGCGGCGTAAAGCGCAATTATTAACAACTTTAAAGTTGTAAGTGACATGTCAACGTTTAAATACGCAATTTAAAATTTAAATAATGCCAGCGGTGACATTTTCCAACCCGCAACGGAAGCGAATCGCATGAGACGAGAAAAAAATATAAAATAAAAACTATTCGCACAAGTTGCGAATTGCATTCGATTTGTTTTTATATTTTCATTTTAATTTTTTGTGTGAGTTTTCAACTTTATTTTTCATCTCGCACGGATATTGAAAGTTGTGGTTTGTGTTTGGGAAAGAGGGTATGGGCTGGTGTAGGGTGTAGGTGGCCTCTCATGCGTTTATTTGAATTTAATATTCATGGTTATAAATATTAATACACACGGCAGGGTGCTTTTGAGGGCCTGGGTCAGGGGTTGGCCATAACTCCTTATCCAGCTGCATTGAAATATTGCAAAAATTGTTGAAGGCCGTTAAACAATTTGGTGTTTTTAAGCTTTTGCAAAAAGCATGTGGCGTAATCGCAAACTTACAAACGACTGAGCGTTTTATTAATATTTTCCAATGAAAAAAATGTATAAAACAGCCATGGAAATCCACATAATTCGCAGTTGTGAACTTGTGAGCTTTTCATAACTTTTACATATGCAGTTTTTTCGAATTATATGAAAGTAATTGCAGTGGCATTTGGGGAAAAGTGTGTAACTGCATGGTAAAGTAATTTTAAAAGCATCAAAATGTTTATTTAAAAATGTAATATAAATATAATATTGAACAGCATCGGAATTCAAGGGATTAGTAGTTATACTTTTTTCACACAAAATGTGAGTTCAATATTGCTCTCAGCAACCTAATTTATTTGCAAAAGCGACGAGCAGGATTGCTTTATTTGCGGTCAGAAACTGTTGTCATTAGAAATTCTTTTGGTCAGTAAATCATCAAACATATTTTGAATCATCTCAAAGGTGATTCCTCTTTTCAAGCAGTTTCATTTCTCAAGAAATTCCTAAGAAACAGAGAAGGTGACTCAGTTAAAGTTCATCTGCATAAAATCTATAGTAAGTAATTAGTAAACCCACACTCTTTCTTACCTCTCATTTTAATCTCAACTCAAAATGCTTCCGTTGAGTTAAATCATCTGAAATTATAATTAATCGATCTCAACAAGCAAAAACAAAAGAAATGTGTAAAAAGTGGTGGTTGCTATTAATATAAATTTCTAAGAAAAGGCTAACGAGTTTGAAGTACAGAAATCAATATATGACGTCACATACAAGAGTAGCTGAGAGAGGCTATAAGCTGAATGCTGATTTAACAGGGAAAGAAGGTGATTCACGAGTTAAGCAATGAATAATATAAAGCGAAAATAATGAATCAAGGGAGAGAAATATATTTTTTAAACAGCAAGAGGGAACTGAGTGATAAGATACGTATGTAAAGGTCCAGCTCTGTAGCTAGCTCTCTTTTGCACTCATTCCAATTCAGACTTCAGTGTAGACTGCTGTTAGTCGGACTCTCTCCTTCTCTCCATCTTGTTTACCATGGTCTCTGTAAAGGTTTCTGTTATAAAAGTTTAAGCTTGACTTGCCAGCAGCTCAGTTAACATTTTGAGGGAAACGAGTGAAGAAGTGCGTAATTGTGAGTTTGAAACAAGATTAAAATAAGACAGAATTTATTTTAATCTTTAAAAACAGTAAATCAAAAGTTATAATAGATTATATTAAAAATCTTAAAAATATATATTAAGACCGAATGCATGCCCCTGCATTTAGTGCTTATTAATATCTAACTCAAAAGATTGGCTCTTATAAACCATCTATAACTAATCATAACTTTTATTTCATTTATTTCGCACACACGCACACATTATGCACCAATACACCACTAAACTCACAACAAAACGATGCACAGACCACAACAACCAAGAGTTATACCACACAACCTGACACCAGCTCACCCGCAGACTCCGATTTCGAAGCATCTGATATCAGTGAGGAAATAGTGGAGACCCTCTCGGAAGAACAAAAGAAGACGATGGATCAGCTGAAGGAAATGATGGCATCCGTGCAAGGGGAGATTCAACATCAAGAAGATTTGGAGAAGGATCATCAGGAGGACAAGGAATACCTAGAAAATAAAGAGAAGAAGGAGCGCGAAGAATTCGATTCCTCAGACGATGAAGATGCCGAGGCCACTACTCCCGTCATCATGAGCGAAACCTTCAACGATGAGTGGGCTGAATTCGACCAGGATCAAGATCAAGATCAAGATCATGACCAAGAATTAGACTTTGGAAACGATCTGAATAACGAAATCGATATCGAGGAAAACTTTGTGCCCGTTGACCTGTCCAACGACATCGCTGTCAACGATATGGCTGCCGCAGATCCCGATTTCCCCCATAATCCCGATGCCGAGTTCATTGTGCACCCTTCTGTTGTCAGAACTATGCCCATGTTCGAAAAGCTTTCCTTAGCAGAGCCCTCGAAATGAGGACCCTTTGTCCTTATCTAGTCTAGGCATTACCTTTAATCTTAAGTAAGTAGTCTGTAACACTTCATCGAGGATATCTCTGGGAGATCCAAAGAAATCGGCATTCTCTTCAACCGTAACTTATCGTATTTATTTTGAGAATAGACAACGAGTATTAGGTGTGCCTTGTTGCATTGAAAATTATTTATTTCTATGTTAAAATAAAAATATAAAATACTTTAAAGTACTTTTCAAAAATAAGTTCGCTTTATTTTACACTACCTTCAAAAATATGTATAATATCATTTCAAATGCCTTTGGTTAAAAAATTTTAATCGTACGAAGAATAAATACAACTTGAAGCTTTTGTAAAGGTTTTTAATGTTATTATTTATTTTTAAACCCACAAAGTGAAATCGAAAAGGGTTAATAACACCCTCACATAATATAATTATTACTCTTCTGGTTGTATGATTTATCCTTCTTGATGATACTTCCACTTATTTTATTAACCAAATTCAGCAACGGCCTTAAATACCTCGATGAATGTGCTGCATACTTTCAGGCTTTTCCATAGGGAATTCCATTGATTTAAATTGAATATGGACATAAACTGCTGTATAGGCATTATGTGCCTCATTAGTTCTCTCTGCATTTAAAAAAAATACTACTAGTTAATTATTTTTTCCATACTATGCATCTGGGTAATTAATTGTGGTCAACTTATGGTTAACTTAATTGCCTGTTATTCTTTTGTCAAACAAAACCATGGGCCATAAGAGCTTATTAATTGGTGAATTATAGTCAGCAAGTGAAAAACGGCAATGGAAAATGTCATTTTCATAAATCCCATCTGATTTTCTTGGACTTTGGCTAAATCTATAAGCTAAAAAGTTTATTATGCTGAAAAGTAAAAAAAAAAACAATTTTCAATTTTTTCAACAATTTTTTAGAGAAAAAGGTAGTTTGTTTCTTTATGTTTTTGCTTGTTTGCAGAACAGCCATTAATTTCAGGTTTCCAAATAAATCTGTTGTTTGTTTAACTTCAGTAGAAACTCAAAAATGAAAACTCATAAGCCGAAAAACAGAATGAAAAAAGTTTGCTAATTTGTTGCTAACTTTTTAATAAGTGAATTTAATGAACAAAAATGAAAAGCTGTACAGAATTTACTTTTTAAATTTCGTTGCTGATGGACGAATGTTGTTTGGGTGGCAAGCACATTGAATGCTTAAGTGGCCGACACATATTTGTACATTACAACCAGAGTTGCCACCCTCATCATCATCATCAGCAGCAGCAACAGCAGCAGAGCCATTCAGCGAATAAAGGATGTAAACTGTTTTTGAGCTCATCGGGGTGTGAGTAAAAAGCATATCAGTAATTATGGCTCCTGTGCTCTCAATCCGTGATTCTTCTGGTCTGGAATGGGAAGGATGGGCTGGGCTTTTGGGTCTTTTCAAGTGCTCTTCCTCACCTGTCTGTTGAATGGTTTATATTCCCACTCCCACTTCCATTTCCAGTTCCCATTTTTATGTGTATTTGCTTTGGCCGGTGCAATGATTGCAACTTTTCAATTTGTATTTACAAAAGCGAAACAATGCGAGGCATATAAATGTGGCTATGTCTGTATGAACTGGGCCTTATATGCCTTATATCGTTCGTTCGTTTAACAAATTTGAGCTGTAAACAAAGCCAAATAGCTCAGTCTTCATGGCATTTTTAAATCTTTTAGGCCAAGCTTTGGTCATATTCGGAAATTGAAATTTATTTAAAATAGCACAAAGGTGGTTGGAATTCTGATTAAGTTAGTAATTTTATTTTGCATTTTAATTTTACATTTTTAAAGTGCATTTCCCTTTATTTGCTATTAACTAAACACTCGTGGCTCGCCCCTTTGTTCGAGGTTCCTTTTTCCACCTGCGTTTTTAATTTCTTTATGCCTTTGTTCCCAAATGTAGAAATGAATGGCGGGTGTGAACTAGCAGGGCATGTGGGGAATAGAGGGTTAAGGGCACAAAGCTGGCACGGATTCGGCAGAGATTAGCGCTCGGTTCATGCGGTTTTGTGGGTTTGCTTCAGTCTCAAGCTGCCGCCGGAGTTGAAGTTAATTAATTTTCGCTTATTTGATTGTTTGCCAGGTAAAATGTGTGCAAGCCATTATAAAATTTTAGAAATTGCTGAGCTGAGCTTTAATGTTTGTTTAATAGATTTGGAATTAATCTTAACTGGTGTCTTAGTTAAATTTAAACAGTAACAAAAACAAATTTAAGAATGTAATTAGGGGTAAGGAAATTAACGTTTTCCTATTTTTTCTTTGTATTGCGTTCTTTCTCAACGCGTTTTAGAATGTCATCCATATTGGTGATTAACTTTTCCAGAATTTCCTCTAATAGACCAACACGATTGTTGAGACTGAAACGAAGGCAATTATTGGGAGTTTTTATAACTTAAATTTAACTACTTACCGAACCATGTCATGGTTTTCTTCTGGTGGAATGTCCTTGAAATACTGTTGCCTGAAAGATATTTAATTTTTATATTAAAGAAATAATTGAAAGGTATTTTTAATAACTCACTCTGCTGGTGTCAGGTTCTTTCGCATCTCCTGAGGCTCTTCCTGGGCGGCATTGGCTTCTTGCTCCGCATTCTTGTCCTCCGCTTCAGATGCTTGAGGTTGAGGTCGCCTCTTTCGTCCACAATGGGTTATCCAGTAGAGCATGTTAGCCAGTTTCTTATAAATATAGGAGCCCAAGTGACTGCGGCCCTGGGTGATCTCACTTTTGACTGTGTTATAGGTCTCCATAATAATGGCGAGGAACATGTTCTATTATAAAGAAACTAATTTAGTATACAATAATGGTAGAATAACAATATAACTTACCAACAAAATGAAGAACACAAGCAGAATGTAGGTGAGAAAGTAAATGGGACCCAGAACTCGATTGGCTTGCTCAATGAGGTTGTACTGAAAGTCGCCCAGGATCATTCTTATCATGGTCAAAATAGAGGTAATAAAGTTACGGAAATCCGGATGCTTGGTGCCAAATAGCAGAAGACCCAACTGGGCATAGGCCAGGAAGACAATTCCAAACATTAGACTGAAACCAGCCAAGTCTTTCGAGCACTAAGAGTTTAAAATAATAGGGTATTCTAATTTTTAGAGCCTATGATTATACTTACCCTTTTTAAAGTCGTAGTAAACTGCACGAGAGTCTTGTTGAAACTGATGAACTTGAAGATCTTTATCCACACAAGAAAGGCCAAAATGGCCATCATATCCACGTAGATGATGTTCCAGAAACAGAGTACATCCAGGCTTTGATATGTCAGTTCCACTTCGGCTTTGGCAGTTAGGGACCGAACTTTGAAGGTGTGCCAAATATTGTACATCAAGGCAAGGTAACAGCCCTGGGGAAAGATTATTTTATTTGAAATTCAAAATGTTGAAATGCCAAAGAAGACACCAACCAGCAATATAACACAATCCAGAATATTTAACATGGAGAATAAGTAGTTTTTGAATCCGGATTTGCGTATTTCAGTGATTTCGTAGATGGTATAGTAGACGACCATAATATACCAGAAAATATAGATCACAGTCATGACCATGCTGCGGTCCGTGAAGAAGGAATATTGTTTTACAGTTTGCAGATGTGCCTGGGGTATAACACCACCAGTAGGCGGAATTTCCGCTATTAACCTAAGCAATTAAAGAAATACATAGAATATTAAAATATAAAACGAGGAACCACTCACTTTACGCTTTGGAAAATGTCCGTGTTTTCATTAAACAAATTAAACTCCACCAAACAGAGTCGTGAGCCCCGATCGAGCCAGTGAACTTCCTTAAGGTCCCTAATGATCTTCAGGTTCTTGTCCTTCTCATAGTCCAAGTTTACTGTGTATCCACCGGTGCGATAAAAAGCCAGCACTGTCCAAATGGGCGTAGAATCCAGTTCGTTCATCGTCCGATATAGTGAGCCCTTGTGCACCACCTTGCGCTCCTCCGCTCCGGCGGAATAGGCGGCATAGCAGGTGTTGAAGTACCTGATGAAGGCGTCGTTGACGTAGCAGCTATCCTTCCTCACTCGAATTTGCCGAAGACGTGGCGGACCCAATAGCAGGTTTTCATAAAGAAAGACACGTCCCTAGAAAGCAGAGATTATGGTTTTAAATATATCCATGTACATAATAATCAACTCGCCTCCAAATGATGTGAACTCATGTTGTTGTGAAAATGATCTAAGGGTGGAACTTCATTTTGAACACTTTCGCTGTCATCTCCGGGTGAACCCTCTTCTGATTCCGCCTGCCGGATATACCTAGTACGCCCATCCATATTGTACGGATTACCCTCTTGCAATCTCTCAGCCTCTGGGGATTCTTCGGGATTTTCCGCCGGCAATTCGCCCGGCAACTCATCAGGCGAATCCTCATTCGCAACAGGTGCTTCTTGAGGCGGAGGTTGATCATTTATCGTATTATTATCCGTTGGAAGACCGTCTCCAAAAGTCATATCGCCGTGAAGAGTTATCAGAAAGTTATAGATCAGATAGTCCCACCAATCTGGCACAGTGATCAGCTTCTCAAAGCAAATCGTGACCGAAGGTGCCACCACCAATTCCCGAGTAGTAAACAGTTTCTTCATTGTGTCGTTGAAGTAAAACATATACGAGTGACGGACGGAGAGAACGACTGTGGAATAAGTTTTGGGCTTATGAGTTTTGCGATACTAATCATTGGTTTTTATTAAGTACAAACTTACCCAGAGATGTTAGGATCAGAAAAATGATAAAAACGGAAAACTCCACAAGGGCTTCGCGCACCTCCTCATCGGTCGTGTAAAGGATTCGGTTGGTCTTGGCCCTGTTTTGCATTGCTGTATGTGTCGTGAGCGAACCCGGCCGTTGGCCACGGGGTGACGCTGATGTCTCGTCGCCTTTCTTTTTTCGAAACATTTTAAGTTTTTCCTTTGCAGGATTTTGGGATGAACTGTCCCCAGCAGCGGCTAGCTTAACAGCCTTGGAGGTCGACGGACCTGCTTGAAAAGATATTCGGCCAGCATCAACGCTGGGTCGCCGAGGGGATACAGCTGCCGAGTCCGGGGTAGTAGCTCGGGGAGACGAGGATGGACCTGCTTCCCGAATGGATATTCTGGTAGATGGTCCCGGTTCGGAATCCGGGACACTTGTCCGAGGTGGTGTGGATGGTTTTCCTGGTGATGTTGATGGGCCAGGATCGCGAAGACTTGATTTAGGTGGCGATGGTGGTGATGGTCCAAGATCTTTCTTCGGCGATAATGGTTTTGGCGATGATGCTACTGCATCTGTTGCTGGCGACGCCATGGTACTGGCAGCCTTGCCGGAAGCCGGCTTGTCCGTTCCCATTCCTATCGAAACCCGCCTTGTGGCCGGAGTTGGTGGAGGTCCGCGGGCCGGAGTCACATCGCCCGGTGTCGTTGCCGTTGAAGTTCCACGGGGCGAGGTGGGTGGTGGTATTTTCGGCGGACGGGGCGGTGGAGAACCTGACGGTCCTCCCGCCGGCCTTTCCCCCTGGCCTCTATGGGCCATTTTCTATAGAAATTGTTATTTGCTTGCGAGATTTTCACGATTAAGAAAATAATATTTCAAGTTGCACGCTCAGAAGCAGACTGAATAATGTTGGGAGCTGACCCTGACGACAGGCACGTTTCTTGAAGTTAAAAGAATGCTTACTTTGATGGAGAGTCAGGTAAAGGGCTGGTTAATTTTGATTTTTACTTTAAGAGGTTTCAAAATAAAAACTCTCTCGTTGAATGTTTTTTTATTTTTTTTATTAAAAAGAAACTTTACTTTCCTACAAATAAGAATTGTATTTTCCCTTGGGATTTATATTTTTTATAGTTGTTGCAGCTATTCTTGTTTAAGCCAGCTACGTTTTCAGGTGGCAAGTGAAAAAGGAAAAACCCAGACAACAGCTGCACATTCGGCGACTCCTGGCATATGCATATTTCATGCGTTAACGCCAACATTTGAATTGCAGCAGGGGAAGAGGAAGGGAAAGGGAATGGGATGGGATTCAACGAGTGCATCTCGGAGTTCCTGGAAGGACACAACTAGCAGCAGGATGCATATTGACTTTCTTTAAGGAGATTCACATTCCAGAATCTAAGCTGACGAAGGAGTTGCCTTGCAGACACATAAAAACTTCATATTTTTAAATATTTCATATTTTATTTGTAAATCTTTGAAACCGCTTGACTGCTTCATTTTTACACTTTTCAGTAAAATGTTAAACTAATTACAAGCTAAATTGTTTACACTTACATTTCTTCGGACTTTAGTTCAGTTTAATTTTGCCCTCTAACATCAAGTGCAATTTAAGTACAAATTTGACAAAATGTTTTAAGTTTGCTTCGTATGTTTATAGTTTTCAACTATCAATGAATATAAAATAGATTTGAAATAGAGACGAAGAAGCTAAACCAGAAGTGTTTAGCTTCAGTTTTCTAGAAACTTTAGTTTTTTCACATGGGTTTTGAAGAATTTTTTAATGTATAGTTTTAATATTTTTAGCTATCCCTTTGAATGTTTCTCACTACGAACGGAATTTCGAATGTTTTTGTTGGCTTTTCACCCTACTACATTTTATTCATATATTTATTACCTTAACTGTAGCCTAAACATTACTTTCTAAGTTTTATTGTTTGTTTAGTGCAAAAATTAGATTTTCTCATCTTCTGTTTTTAGGTTTTAGTTTTTAGTTTTTAGTTTTTCCTTTTGTTTGCTTAACTATTTGGCTTTGAAAAATACTTTGGCGCCACAACGCAGCTTAATCTGAATTTCCTTTATATTATATTTTATTTTCAGGATTTGTTTGCCGACCACGTTAGATAGTTTGATTGATTTAATGAAAATGATTGTTGGTATTCAGCAAATGTGATTACAAGAAGGATGCAACTTCTAAGCTACTTCTTTGGTAGGGTTGATTTTTGCGGTTTTATTCTTCTTGTTTTTCCTTTTTTTGTGCACTCGAGAACTTTATTTGTAAGCTTTCTGTTTATCTTTAGTTTTGTGTTCACTTATCAGATACATTTTTGTAATTGGTCCTTTGGTTTCTGAACGTTGCTAAAAAGGCACAATTGTCTAAACTAGAGTTTCATCCATCCATTTAATGTTTTTGTGAATTATTATTGTTGTGTGCTGGGTGCCATGGCCACGCCCCTTGATTCTTGTAGCTGCCTAGTACGGCTTGGCCGCATCCCTGGAACGTTTCAGTTGGACCTTCAGCCGCTTGGTGCCAATTTGAAAGCCGTGCATCGCCTGGATGGCCGCGTTGGCCGAATGTGGATTGTCGTAGGACACGAAGCCGAAGCACTTCGACAGGTTGGTCTGCTTATCGATGAACACCTTGGCGGAGAGGACATTGCCGAAGGGGAGAAATGTCGACGCGAGATCTGTGTCAATGAACTCCTGAGGTAGATGATAAATGAATAGATTGCTGCCATCGGGACCTAGTTTTGGGAGGAAGAAATAGGAGATAATTATTGTTTAAAGAAAAATATATATATTAACTTAAACTAACCTTCTATCTGCTTGCCAGCCACGCCAGCAGCTGCTGCTTGAATGGCGCTGGCAGTCAGAGGTTGGGAGGCAGCTCCGTAGGCAGCTCCATTTGTCAGTCCACTCAGGGATGGTGAATAGGGATCAGCAGTACTTGTGGGCCCTAAAAAGTTGTTAATGCAAATCAAAATTAGTAACTAAACATATACACGTATAAAAACTGAAAGAAAACTTTATATAATAACCAAGAATTTTCCTTTATTTAGTTTTTTCTTAGAACAAACACTCACAAGAAGGGACAATAACAAACGGACACACACATACACACAGTGGGACAGAGACACACACACAGAGAAATATATATGTATATATCCAAACACACACAAACCACATATCTGAACAATAAAATAACCCAAGTTGAGTTAACGCATATGAGATTTCGCCCATTTTATTTATGATTATTTTTAGTCTTCCTTTTCACACTTTGTGCCCAGCCATTTTATGTTTTTTTTGTATTACTTTTTTGTGGCCCTCTCTCCTTTTATTATTAAATTTTATTTTGATTTTCCCCTTTTGTTTGTGTACTCGTATCATAAAAAAATTTGTTAGCCTTTGTTGTTCGGGTTTCCCCGCGTGGCGCCAGCTTTTTTAATTGAGCCTGCCAGCTCTGAACCAAACATTTTCCCGGCTCCCCTGCAGTTCCCTTTGTGCATTGCCCAAAATTTTTGTTCCCTTTGCATAATCTACTAAAAATTTATTACTTTCTTTTAGTTTTTCGTTTTCCTTTATTGCATTTTTCACGGAGCCCGAAAATTATAGCGGCACATTTTTTAATGCTGGCCATTTGTGTGGCTAAATTTTAGAACAAATTTAATATTTCAGCCTGGGGAAACCACAAAGGTTGCTAATGGAAATGCTAATTTTAGTCGGGGATGTGGAAAATCCTATGGGAAATAGAATTTCCAACTTTTTATGATTTGTTTTAAGTTTTATTTAAAGTTTTTTTTTACCATTATGTTTCTAGAAAATTATAAAACTTCTTCAGTTTTTGCGAATTTTAGTTTCTGAGTTCGAATCTATTAATTTAAACTCCTTAAATATTTTTCTAAAATATTTATAATAATAATCTTCTAAGAAACTCCAAATTTCTCCCTCCCTACGCTATCAAATTCCTGCTTGGCTCTTCAAACATTTTCCTTCCATATTGTTCCCCATATTTTCCGCTTTCATGTTGTTTTATTAAAATTTTCTTTTTTCTTGCCATGCAATCAAGAACGTATTGTATGGAATGGCATTTATTTATTGTTGTCAGTAACACGGATTTGATTCTTTTTTCGCGTTCGCCGGTTTTCTACAATTTTTCTGTTTTTATCAATTTAACTTTAGTTTGTTTGGTAAAAAAAAAAAATTATTGTGTATTGACGGATAGATAGATAGAATGTTAAAAATACGAACATCAAAAAGTAAAACGACTATTTGGAATTAGAAATATTCACACAGAAATGCTGGCAGAAAATTGTAATCGACTACGGGGAAATAGAAGCGTTTAATATTAGTAAACATACAAAGTACCATACGGACTTTGTCAATCGAAAATAATTAAACTAATTTGAATATTTTACTTTTAGGATAGGAAAAATGTTCATAGTTCATAAATATCTACAGATGAACTTCACAAAAATAACCTAAAAAGGGTTTTGTGTAGAATTAGTACTTTGATTAAGTAAGGAAAGCGCTTGGCAGGGCGAAGTTGTAGGCTCATGCTGTTGGTTTAAGGGGTTATAATATTAAGGATTATATCATTTATAGTTAGTGTGATTAAGTGGTAGAGGTAAAACTCTGTTTTGATTACAATACAAAACGAAAAAATAGAACACAAAGAGATTTACAACATACATACGTAAAAGTAGAACACAACCACCCAAACCCATTACACACATTTATAATTATCTACCTAAATTCACACTTATTTAAGTCTCTGAATCTTGGAACAATTTTCAAATCTTTTAGTTTTTCCAATTTTTTTTTATAAATTTTAAAACATTTTAATTTCAATTTTATATGATTACGTTAATAACACAGAATGTAGTATACTTTTAAGGTTGCTCATTAAATTGTACAAAAAAAAAGTTAGAGGACATTTAAAACTCTTTTATAACAAATTAAAAATTTGGGGTTGGATTCGAAGAAATTTTAAGAATTATCTTTCTGAAATGGACGATCTTAATAGCTTAAAACAAAGTTCCGAAATTGGGAATTAAATCAAATTGTACGTTTGATCAAGATCAAGATCTACTTACACAGCGCATTCAAGGTCAGCATTTGGCCGGTGCCCCCTGGCTGAGTGGGCGTGGCCGTGTGACCGATTAGCTGCGACATGTTGTAGGTGCCCGCCGTGGGTGGTGGTGGTGGTGGTGCAGCGGCGTAGGCCAGTCGATGGTTGGGATAGCCGCTGGCGGAGATGGTGTTCTTGTTGCTGGCGCTGCTGCTGCTATTGCTGCTATGGTGAAGGGTCAACTGCTGGTGGGCGGAGGGCGTGGCTAGTAGGGTTACCAGATTCTGCATAGACATGGATGGAGCGGCGAGCAGTCCAGCGCCAGCAGCATGCCCGGCGGCACTTGTGGGTGGTGTGGGTGGTGGTGGGCCGCCGCCGCCGCCGCCAAGTTGGTGAGATGCTGCTGCTGCTGCTGCTGCTGCTGCAGCCGATAGAGATGCTGCTGATGCGGCGCCGATGGTGGGACTGTGCTGGCTGTGGTGGGCACTGTTTTCCGGTGGGTGGTGGAAATTTAGTCCTGATTTTCCATAGTTATTTTTTGTTTTTGTTTTGTTTTGTACAGTTTTGAGTTGGTTGGTTTATGGTTTAAGGTTTTGGTTGAGTTGGTTGATTGAGTTGATTGATTGTTTTTTTTTTTTTGTACATGACCACAGAGTCAATCATAGACATACCAAATAATGTTCAACGAATATTTATATATAAAAAACATAGAAGAAAACACACACCCAATTGGATTATTTACATATACAAAAAAATTATAAAAAATTAATTTTGATATAATTTTTGGTTTGGTTTTTTGGTGTTTCGATTTTGTAAATTTCATGTAAATACATACAAATCAAAACAAATAAAAATTTGAAAACATCGAAACATGAAATAAAACAAAGAGGGGAAAACAAAATGAAAATGCGAAACAGAAAATGCAAGATAAATAAAATAAATTAAACTTAAAACGAAAATAAAGAAAACGAAAACTCAAAATTTACAGAAAATAAAAATAGGAAAATAAATAATATAAAATAAATATAAACATTCCAAGAAAGGCTTCTTTAAATGATAATGAAATAATAATAAGAACGAATTAAGAACTTAAAAAAAACATACATAAATTAAGAAAACGGGGATGCAAATAATACGTAGGTGAAAATAAAAAGTAAACGAAATAAAACATACAAATGCAAGACATTAAATCAGATCAATCGAATGCAGTTAGACATAAACTATATAAAAATCATTTAAATTAATTTCATAAAGTAATTAAAACTCTAAGAACGCTGGGCGGTGGGAAACAGGAAATGAAAAATTCTCCATTCTCTATTTCCGGCTTGAGTTATTCTTTTATATTGCATACTTGGCGGCGCTGGCAAAAGATTGAAAGCTGTTCTACACAAAACAAGAATCCGAAGAATACACACAGAGACAGAAAGAGAGAGAGAGGGGGTAGATAGAGAGAGCAGGCAGGTGTGGTATGTGTGCGAGGGAGATAGATGAGCACAGACATTCACATAAGGAGAAGGGCATTGTCTAGCATATTTAAGGAATATTTTTCAAATTGCTTCCTCGCTTTGAATGAGCTGCCAGTAGATGGTTCTAGGTACTATGTGTGTGTGTGCATAGTTTGGCCATCCTTGAGGGTTACGCCCCCTCAGGTAGCCCCCTTCCCCCTTTTTGTGGGCATAATAAAACTTTAAGTGTTCTCACCTGCGGACAACTTCAGGTTGTTGCTGTTGCCACATTGGAATTGCATTTGTTTACATGCCATGCCTCCGGCTATTGGGGCAGTCTCACTCGCCATACACTCTCTATGTACGAGTGTATATATGAGGCTCCTTCTTTTTGGCCACCTTTGATGGTGCCTTTGCCCTTGGGGCCTTTGGCAAGACTTATAAAAATTTCAAGTCTGAAAATGGGCAAAGAAAAGCTGGGAAAACGGTAGACAAAGACGCTCCTTTTTGGTTATTCCTTTGCGGATTTCGGTTTAGTTTTATTTCTATGAAAGTCATTGCTAAAGCTTTAACTATGGTAAACTAGTTTACTATTTTCCAGTTCCAAACATTTTCTTTTCGTTCATCTCTTATATAATTGACCTCCTCTTGAAGACTCACAATCAAATAATGTTTGTTCTGTCATTGCTGGCTTTTCGAAATTGGTCAAATCAGCAAACGTTTACAGGTCTGCCGCATCCACTTAACGGTTTCATTCGGCACTTAAATATAGCAAGAAAAAAATAAAGGAAATGAAGGAGCGCAGAGGACACGTTCCATACATTTGCTGGCCATCAGAGCTCGGAGTCGTTGAGTCCTTTCTTTCCCCCTTCGACCTACGTCTACCTCCTGGATGTGGCATTTAAAAACGACATTTGTTATTCAAGTGGCATACGTCGTCGCTCTAAGTTCCCCTAACTGCCCAACAGTTGCCCTCACTGTCCGTTTACAGTTACTGCCGTCAGTCGGTGTCCACCGCCTCCTCCTTCTTTTGTCACTTCTTCTCCATTCGGGATTCCCTTTCGCATATCCTGTTTCTTGGTTGGATCTGTCAGCTTGAGGATGTCTCTTGGCTTAGCTATGTTACGATAAGATTTAGAGATCTACAGTCGCTATTTAAAATTTTATCAATCCTTTTTATGTTGAAATAATATTTGCAAGTTTTTTAACTCTTCTTTTCTTGAATCCATTAACTATATTTGCCCAAATAAATAGTTGCGAAAACCCTTCGTGTATCGTAAAAAACTCTATTTTTGTTAGAGAATCTCATCCACCTCGAAATCCCCATTTCGGTGGCAGATTTTTTGCGCTTTGTGCGATTACATCACGCGCCGCTCAACATTTGGTTGTCTGTGATTCCCCTCTTTTATTTTACTTTTTCCCCTGGCCACTGGCTTTGGCTGTTTGTTCAAGTTCTCGAGCTTGATTTGTTATGCGCAAAATGTCCACGTTCCCGTCGAGACTGGTCAGGGGGTGGGCCAGTGGGCGTGGCACGTCGGTCATTCTAATGAAGCGGCGTTGCATATGCAACACGTTTACATTGACGCTATGTACGTGAGTGTGCGTTTGTTTTTATGTGTGTTTGTGTGTTGACCAGAAATCTGGGAAACCGTCTGAGCCATCATCCTCATCATCGTGTCATCTCGTCATTGTCGTTTTCGTTGTCGTTGTCGTTGTCCACCTTTTAATCCTATTACAATGTTTTTGTTTTATTCATCAGGCAAACTGAAGAGCCGGGCCGCGTTTCCTTACTTTTCCCCAACTTTTCCGGCTTACTTTGCTTGCCGTCTCTCTGGCCCTGCATTTATGCAAATTTTGTTGCTTAAATTGAAATTAATTATTTGACAGTTGTTGCTGGATTCTGCTTTACTTATTCTTTGCCCAGCTTGAATCTGCAGGTTATAAATGATGTTAGCAGCCCAAAAAAAGGGGAGTGATTTAAACTTTTTTGTTAAAGGTCATAACAAATGACTGGAGGGAACCAAGCTTTGGGGACTATGAATGCCGTTAATCTTTTTAATCAACAATGTTGGGCATAAGGTGATTTACGTTGTCTTACTAAGCTTCATTTTTAAAAGTTGAAACTTGTTTTTTAGTAAACTAACTACATTTTCCTTAGCTTTTCACACACATAGACCATTATTAACCATATTTATATTAAATCGACAAGCAGCTTTCAATTTGTTCAAAATTAAAAATAGCAGAAAACTGCTTTTAAAATCGCTTCAAATGAGATCATCAAGTAAGTTAGAGGCACATAAAATTAAATTTATTTTAAAACACATATCTGTTGGGTTGCAAGAGAAAACACATATAAAGTGGAGAAATTAAGAATAAACAAGGAGTAAAAAGAACACGAAGACTAAATAACGAGCAGATGTGTGCAGGAAACGAGGACAGATAGAATGAAGAGTTACGGATAGAGATCGAGATTTATATAGAAGGAAAGATGCAACGCTGTGGATTTATTCTGTGTCTGTGACTAAAATTGATCGAATTTGATATTTTTGATACATTTTTTGAGGGTTGGAGTGGGAAAATTCAAATAGGTGACAAGGGGGCGAGGCCTAACAGATAAACCTATGAAGAAACCTATATCGCTTTGTCCACTCACCTTGCAGATAGTGCGCTGGACTCAGTCCGTATCCGTGAAGTTGCTGGTAGAGATGGAGATGTGCCGCCGCTGCGGGATCCGCCCCCAAATAGGCTGCGGCTGCTCCTTGGTGGGGATTGCTGGCGAGGAGATTGGGCGCCAAAGATGCACTCAGAGCAGTTGAGGAGTTCAGTGGAACGAGAGTGGTCTGTGCCGTTGCGGCTCCAGCCGGCTGAACCTGAGGCACTGCCGCCAAAGCGGCGGCCATCGACGGATTGGGACGTCCCGCAGTGGGCTGAGCAGCTATTAGAGCCGTTGCCGCATTAATGGTGGGCGTCACCGCTCCTGCAGTTGCTCCACTAGGGGTATTGATGCCACAAATAGCGTGAATCTGCTGCATCTTCTTTTGGTCTTTTTCCTTTTGGGTGTCCGCGAATTTCACGACCAGCGGAGCTGAACAGCCTTCCATGGTCTGACTTTGGTGGAGGGCCTGGAAAGATAGGACACATTTTGAAGTTTTTATAATTTCTGAGGCTTTTCTTTTTATTGCTTAGAAAATAGGTTACGGATAGCTTAGTAAAGCTAAACAAGAACCGAAAAATTACTCATACGCAATGTTGGCATTACCCAAGAGCGTTTTAGTCACAAGGTTTTATTTATTGCTTTACTATTTTTCATACCTTTTACGGGGTTATTTTTAAAACCTTATTATAGTATCGTTGAAGTACATTTTAGAAATGTGATTAACTTTATGACTTTAAAAGTTAAGCTCCTTGAAAGTAATTTTGTATTTAAGGAATGAGAATGTTATTTAATTTTTCAAATTTAAAATATTTCTGTAATCGAAGTCTGCCGTTTCGAAATACACTTCTTGATATTTTTTGAACTCAATTTTATATAATTATTCAGAGCCTTTGAAAACCCCTTCTTAAGCCCTTTCAAGTCAAGAAATGTGCGTTGCCCCGCCATTTCCTCACTCTGCGCAAAACTGCGTGCCAACTGTGCAGCCATGGCGACCTGTTTAAAAACTCGGAAATTTCCCTAATTACTTTGTAGCCAAGAGCAGCAGTGTCACGATGGTAGAAAAACAGGGCGGGGATGGGGAAAAGGAGGTGCAAAACAATGCGCCGGCCATAAAAGTCGCGCCAGAGCCGCAAGAATTATAGTCAATGTAATTAAAGAGCACTTCTGGTGGCTGCCACGATACAGACGGGTTGCAGGCTAGGATGCAGGCCAGAGTTGCCACCGCCGCCACAATTGAGCGGAAGTTTCGGCCCGGGTCGCCATAGCCCCGGCTGAGTTTCAATGATAAAGTCTACATAAACCGGAAAATAAGTAAAGTGGCTTGCCAAACCCCCTCCAAAAGGCCCGTTGGCCCCTCATCAGACCGCAGCCTAAATGCCTTCGCTAAATGTTTGGCCTGGTTTTCGTGATGCGCCCAGAGTTGCCACCCTCGATTCACGACCCTGTTCTCATTCCCTGGCCATTTTGTTTGTTTTCGGGCTTAGCAGAAAGGTGTAAATTAAGTCGCCTAAGCGGACAAATGGCTGTGTGGGCTAAACTATCTGGTGGGTGGGATGGTGGGTTGTTGGAGGGTTAATGCCGCAGTGGGTGGTTCCGTGGTTGGGTGGCTTGTCGCTCGGGCGGACATGCGGAGGCAGCTTAAGTGCGCGTCATTATTTTGATGCTGTAAGCCGACTTGCCGTTGCCATAAAACTTATCAAAACTGTTTTCGACCTCTAAATGCCGCGAATTTGTGGGTGGTGGCTGTACCGAAGTTGTTGTGGTTGTTCAAGGAGGGAAACCTGTGGTTAGCTGATGTTATCAGGGGTGTGTCAGGACTTCACTTTGATCTCAATCGATTTAATGTTTAACTAAGTTTCTATTTTGGGTGAGTTAAGAACGTAGCTTTAAGAATGGAATACGAGTTATTTACTTTTGCCTTCTACAATTAATATTTTTCTATATATAATCCAACACCACGTCTTGGCATTCAAGAAGCACTCGAGTTTTTACTCCTTTACTAGGAACATTCCCAAGTCACCTACTAATCCAGAGTCATTTTTCACAGCTTGGTCCGACATCTCAGTTCCCCCTTTGGGGGCAGCAAAAAACGGGTTAAATGACCCGTTGGGCAACAGTGAGCACTGGAGACTCAACCGCATTCCCAACTTGGCCTGGTCTCAGCGCCAACCACTTGACAAATTAGCGAGACGAATGCGAAAAATAAAATCTGCATGCGTTGAAAAATGCTATCATCATTTGGCCACCCACCGCCCACTCCTCTTCCTATTTTTTGCTTTCATTCTGGTTTTTGTAAAGAGAAAGAGACTTAATGGAGGAGAGCAGAAGCCGAGAACAAATTGCTGGGCTATAAACATGGCACATTAATATTAAATGCACTTTGCCAGCAGCTCTAGCTCGAGAGTCTTTGGCTTGGGCCTTCGGCATTTTATATTTTGATGGGCAACTTGCACCGCTTTTGGATTGCGTTTGATGGCGTTGCATACTTTCAGGCGTCAATGGACTGCAATGACTTTGCAACCCTTGCTTCATTGCGTCGAACCAAATCATTTGGTCCCGGCCAGTCATCTTCTTGGCATTCACTTTTTCACTTTAATATCTCTTAGATCCTGGACCTCTTGGCCCCAGTTCATTGCATGGCGTGTGCGTGCCTAGCATCCCGTAATTTGACTTCAAATGCATTAAAATCGCTGGCGCACACATACACAATGGTACAGTAGGCACTCAAAATATTGTAATACCTAGGAAATATATCATAAAAGTCTGCTTTATAAAATCATCAATTAAATATTGATTTGTCCAGAATGATGCCTCCATAGAAAATATTTCGGAGAGTAAAGGAAAAACTATCTTTAAGAAACATTTATAGCCTGTTTAGATGGTTCTTTCTTGCTTGTATCTACGTTCCTGAGAGTGTTCTGTAGTATGCATGTATGGCTTTATAATGGTCGCCCGCCCACAACAACATTCATCTTGCAAAAGGCGACAAATTATGTGCAATATACACAGAACAGAGACAGCATGCTCGGACAGCGCAGCTCTCTATCTCCTTTCCTCCCACTCCCTTACATGTGTTTGTGTTTGGCTGTCGGAAGTTTGTAATTTTGCCTGTTTCCGGCACAAAACTTGCATTAGTCTCTGTTAGTGTGCGAGTGTTGGTTTGTGTGTGTGTGTGTTTGCTTAAAAGTGGGCGTGGCAGGCTGAAGGGGTTGTGGTAGCAGGGGGTTACTTGGTTGCCAGGATTACCGTTGACTTCTTCCGCTGCCAGAGGCGGCGTCTTGCTTGCGTTCCAGCTTCCTGTTTGCAGTTGCATGCGGTTTTTGTTGTTGTTGCCGCCATTGTGGAATGAAGCTGTGCTAGTGTGTTATGCATTTGTGTGTGTGTGTGTGGGTCTGGCAGAAACGTGTTTTATATGCGCGACTCTTGCCGCCACTGCAATTAATCATTGCGACAGTTTTTCCCTCACTCACCACAGGACCCAAAGACAATAATGCGCTTAAAGGGGTTAACTTGACTTTAAGGTGATCGTTTGGCCTTTCAATGATCTGTTTTTGATGTTTTAATAGGCGATTTTTCTATATACAGACGTCTAAAAGTATGCTTTAATATTTATAACGCCGAAAATACCATGGACAAAGGAGAGAAGCTGGCTTAATGTTACTCACGAAATACTTTTAAAATTACTTAAAAGGTGGTTTTAAACCAAATGGCTTCTATGAAATCTTTGTTCTATTTAGATAACTTATAATCACTTTCTAAACTTACCTTAATAGCTCCAATGGCGTTCTGTTTGGTGGCGAATGTGACGAAGGCACAGCCCTTGCTCTGACCGGCCTGATCCCGGAGCACCGTGCACTCCTCGATGGTGCCGTGGCCCGTGAAAAGCTGCCTCACATCGGCCTCGGTGTACTTTTTGTTCAGCATGCCAACGAAAAGTTTACGCTCTGCAAATACATCAGTGGAAAATGCGAAATGAAAGAATGTTTTCCAACGAAATGCTTACAGAAATAAACATAAAATAAATACTGGTTGTAGGAGAGTGGTAACATTAACATAAATAACCATTGTGGTTGGGTGAGAGCGGGTCAAGAGCTCGTCCAACTACAAACATTCTTGTTTAAAGGCCCCCCGAAAACTTAATGAGTTGCCAATGCAGCGGGAACTATTATTATGGCCTGTGCGGTACTTCATTCGGGGCTGTAAAAATGTTGCCCCCATTGAGGTAGCTGACTGATTGACTAACGGACTGGGTGACTGACTGACGAGAGTTGCAAACGAAATGGTAGCCATAAAAATAGCATTAAAAAACGCAAAATGACTGCATGTTGGTGTGGCTTAACAGCTTTAAAGCTTATGGGTAGCCAAGGTGACAAATGAATGGAAATTTAGCGCTTTTCAAGCCAACGTTCGAAGTGAAACAAAAGCTTAACATTTGGAAAAATAGAAGAAAACTAAGAATTTGACAAAGAATTTGAGAAGTTTAATACCTTAAATATATATACTTCTATATTTTCATGAACTATATTTCAGGTTCTACTTTTAAAAGTCTGGCATGATTTTATATAATGAAGAGAACCACCCGTGCCATCACTGTTAACACATATTTTGGTGGATTTTCTTTTAGGAACTCTTAGCCAACGCTTAAATTCATTAATGAGTGTGCGTGTTGGCTCCATTTAACGATCGGGCGGCGGGCATTTAACCCAAATTGTAGAACACACAGCGTATGAGTGATATTTTGGGATATTTCTTTTTTGAGGGTTTCCTCCGCTCGTAGGAGGGAGTCGCAATTAATCAGGAACAACTTTGTAAGCAGCTGGGACCTGTAAAGGAGAAACAATTTTAAACTGCTCCAATAAATCGCCTCCGCCTTTGGTCTTTCCATAGATTTAAGATCTCTTCCCTCATCGAAACGAGAACATTTGTAAGGGAAAAGTTTTTGTGCATGGCAATTGTTATGCTTTATCTTGGTCCCCATGTGAAGGGGGAGGGGTGTGTGCTTTGCAAAAGTTTTTTGGGAGCGCACATGCAAAAGACTAAAAACGCAATCGCAACAAATCGAATCAATGCAACAAGAACTGCTGCAAACTGCTGCAATAAGAAAGAGGAACTTTTCATTCTACAACACTTTCGAGCACACTCTCTCTGCCCTATCTTGGCTTAAAGTTTCCCAGAGACAACGCATACTATACATATAGAGGAATTCAGGGGCAGAGGATTTAGGAATTCTCTTAAAAACAAACTAAGCATGCGTTCAAACCACTTTTTGATACCGTAACAGTCAGAGAGTTGCTTAAAAATAAAGTTTGACTGGTAAAATGTTTCATTTCACATTTTAAAACTGTATACAACATAAGTCGCAGTCTTTCATATTTACCGCTTGACTCAAGGCTGGTACTAAGAACTTATTTTTAAAAGCAGTAAAAAATTGGCAGATAGTTTTGATGGATTTTTGGTCATAAACTTTGCTTAAGGGTAAGGCAAGTTCTACCACAAAGCACTCGTAGTTTCACCTCTTTGAGCATGGGTGTCGTAAAGTATAAATATAGAAAATTGTGTCGCTGCAAGGGAAGTGATTGGAAATTGTTGCTTTTGCCTGGAGTTGGCACCAGGGAGAGAGGTGATGGTGATCCGTGGAGACCCCCAGCCAAGGCACTCAGAACGCACTCAACCTGCCTTCCCGAAGGGGCCGTCTTATCTGTGGGTGGGTGTGGATGAAACTTTTTTCTTTCTCGAAAACGAGGTGCAAGGCATTCCTGTGTGCTAAATACATACGAAGTTATAGTACTTCTTCGCCAGGTTCTGTTTGCCGTGCACATGCTACTTTGCCCACTTTTTGGTCTCTGTCCGGCACATGTGCAAAATTTATTTGAGGTTAGTTCAGGTGTGACACAAGAAGTAACATTTTATATATTTATTGTATGGATTTGCCATTTTAAGTTGAAACTTTGCCAGCGAAGATACGAGTGGCACGAGAGAAAAGGGCTATGACAAAAGGAGGTTAAAACTTATTGCAGGCACCTGGGTCCGCCGCTGATTCCCTTTCGTTTCCTTCTCGAACAGCTTGTTAAGGACCTCTTTTGTATTTGGCATCGCTGATTGGAAAGTTTTATGCGCACGTGATTTTTTCAGGGCTGATAAAAGCTGGTGGAAAGTCCATGGCAAGGAAAATAAAAATACTGAGGAATTTCCTTTTATTTTAGCAACTGATGTGCGTTAAAGGTGGTTTCCATATAAATATGTGATATAAATTAAGTATCCTACATTCCTATTTTCTTTACCAATTAATAACAAATGCGATTTTAATGTTGGAATCCACTCAAGTTATGGCTCATTTCCATTGGTCGTGGTCACCTGCCGGTGCAATCTCCTCATTAATTCAGCTTTAGGCGGTTTATCATTTCCACCTTTTTCGGTGGTGGCCAGAAAAAGCAGTGCCAGTGGAAAGTGTCGCCAAATGGCAGGAATCTCATTTAAGTGAAGTCACTGCCTGCCTTTTTGGCCTTCTTCTTTTTCGGCTCACACTTTCGGTGCATCTCTCTGTCATTCCTGTGGGCCATTACAGTTGCAGAAATTGCAATTTCACGACAATTACCACAAATTGGTTTCCTCAACTGGCTGGGCGAACATTTTCGTTTCGTTTCGTTTCGCCGGTCCTGCTTCTTCTTCATCTTCTACTTCTTCGTGCCTTCCGCCTCACAATTATGCAGCAAAGTTGCACCCCCTCGAGGGAATTTTTCAGGATGAGAGGAAGGGAGGGTTTAATGTGGGGACTTCCGCCTGTGGCATATGCATTGTAAGTTCATCCTTGGGAGCCAACTCTGCCATATGATGTCGTTAACTGTCTTAAGATTTATATGCACAGTCAAAAGCGGAAACTGCACTTATGTCTGGGGGGCCAAAAAGGGGGATGAACCCCATATCTACTGGGTCCTCATATATTTCACTTCACACTTGAGACATCAACTTTTGTGTCAAGTCGGTTTTTGGGACTGCCTGAACAAAAATTTTGTGACTCCGGGCAAAGTTTGCCATGTGCATAATTTACTTTTTCCACACACACGAATTACGTATCTTTTATCTTATTAGAGTTTTTCTGTGGAGTCAGCCAAGCATTAGATTGCATTCAATTTGCATCGCAATTAAATTGCTCGCTCTTGGAAAAATCCTTCGTCAGCTCTTAATTATTTCCCGCAGTTGTGTTTGTTTGGCATAAACAAATTAAGCGCCTTGTGCGAATGTTTACAAGCTAAGATGTTCGAAAATCCGAAATCCCTGGCATACTTTCTGGCGTCACACAAATGTACGTTTTTGCGTGTGAGTGTATGTTGGCATGATATGCACTTAAGCGTGCTAGGATAAGGGTTAAGAAAGTTGTAGGTTTTAAGGATTTTAGATACTCTTTAATGTATATAAATCATTAAGGAATGAGTGTGAGTAATGTAAGATATGAATAGTAAAAATGCTCCTCTTTCTTTCTCTTCTGAAATTATCTTAGAATTAAAGTTACCTACTTCCTAGCTGATCTACCCCAATCCTTTTCCCAATAGTGTAAACCACAAACAAAAGTCAAACGCATTAACTAGAACAATGGCATCCGTGCAAACGAATGAAGCGCATAAAACTTTTACCGAAAGTGGGGTAAAATTCCACCCGTGAGCTGTCAACCGAGATTTGCATATATCGCCGTATGGATGGTACAGAAATTTGCTACTAATGTGAAGAACATTAAAATGAGGACAGCAGGCAGAGTGGAGCAGGAGCGAAAGGATAAATGTTAAACACGCCAGCCAGATTTATACAAAACACACACATAGACACTCTCGGAAATACGAGTTGTGGCATTCGAATTCGAGGAATGCAACATTATTCAGAACATTTTGGCCAGGGGCTAGAGAGGAGCTGTAAAGTAATACATATGTAAAAACAGATGTGAACAAGTTAGCTAATGGCCATGACTTTAACCCGCCTTCATTTCCTCTCTCCTCTCTCACCTCTCTCAACAATATAAATGCCATTTAAGCTTAGTTTTCAGAAATATTATTTATATTTGGCTTATTGTTTCAGTTTATCAGGGAGAGACTTTATGTTTAATTTCCTGAAGCTATTTGGTTGGTATTACATTTAATAGTTTAGTCACAGGAAGTACGCTTTGTTAGCTGTCTCTTTGATCCAAGAACTTGAATTAAGTCTTGAATTAATCAAGGTACTTTATAATAGAGCTTGTCTCAGACAGCATCTAATCACATTTTAAGCTACTTAGGCCACATCGCAGCTCCTCGTCTATCAGGTTTCAATTAAAATTTTGCATAAGACATGGACAGCCTTGAGCAGGCAACTGCAGAGGGTAAGTGAAGTACTCGGGAAGTAGGATGTTTCACTCACGGATCCTCCATCTCTAAAAACAGTTAACGTTTTCAATTATAACATAAACACTCTAACAACACTCTGCCTGCTACAAGGGAAAATCATGGGATGGCCTTAACGCATTACACAGGCAGAAAATAAAAAGTCATTAATAACAATTAATTAGTTAAATACTATGATTTGTTGATATACTTAATATTGTTCGTATTGATAATAAACCTTTCTTAATATTTATTAATTTTAATAAAAGTGTTAAACTTCTTTTCAGCTTCTCATAGTAATTATTACTATTTTTCCTACTGTTAGTGCCATGTGTTGTAGTCCCTGCTGTTGTTGTTTTTGTTACTCTGTGTGTACTGTACAGATTAAGCGCTGAGCTCACACGAGGCCTGATAAATGAAAATGGCATGCACACATGTGCAACAGCAACATCAACGGCAAAAGAAGCAACAACATCAGCCGTGGCACAACAGCAGCAATTTTGAAGTGCTGCACGAGTTGGAGGCAACTTTTCACATATTTGTATCTGTTTGTGTTGTTAAGTAGTTTGGGCGTTTCCAACTCGCAGTCTCAGCTG